TGGGAACAATACATATCTAAAAGGTAACAAACCAGGAGCTGGCGTTGTGGAACAGCAAATTAAATAGATCATTGTGATGCTGGTATCCAGTATCAGAGTCCAGGTTTAAGTCCAGGCTGTTCCACTTCTGATCCCAGATCCTTGCTAATGTGTTTGGGAAAACAGTGGGTGATAGCTCAAGTACTTGGGCCCCTGATACCTATATGGGAAACCCAGATGAGGCTCTAACTTGTCCCAGTCCTGTTCTGGCTGTTGCAGCCAGTTGGGGAGTGAACTAGCAAATGGAAGATCTGCAACATCCTTTGAGTGGCGGTTCAAATCCCAGCTGCTCCACTTCCAATTCAGCTTCATGTAATGGGCTGGGAAAAGCAGTGGAGGATGGCCTGAGTCCTGGCCCTTTGCATCCTTGTAGAAGACTTGGAAGACACTCCTGGCTCCTGACTTTAGCCTGGCACAGCCCCTGCTTGTGGCCATCTGGGGGGTGAATTAGCAGATGGAAGATCTGTCTGTCCTCTCTCTCTCTTAACTCTACCTTTCAAATAAATAATTTAAAAAGCTAGAACTTGACAGTAATGTTTCCAAATATACTGGGGATTTTGGTACTCCAAAGTGAGGGTAAGACAGATTCCCTTTACACTACTTCCTGCTCTTTTGTGAATATGTCTTCATGTTTTCATCCCTGCGGACTGCGTTTTCCACCTAATTTCAAACAACAACTTAAGACATTTCTCATGATTTGGGTTGGTAGATTCTCAGTCCAATGAGTTTTGGCTTTCTTTCCAGCTAATTGATCAAAGCCAACCCATCAAATTGTTAATGTCTTACAGCAGATTCTAATAAACTCTGAGTTGACTGTTCTGCAAGGTTTTAATCATAGCAAAAGATGATATTTGCATTTTTGCCATCTCCGTTTCAAGTGTTTGTCATAATAATAGATTCAGAACTATGAATGATTGAGTTTGTCCATTCCCAAGAAAACTATCCCTGGCAGAACAGGAGCCCATTTCTAGTATGACGTCTAAATATAAAAACATTTGGGTCCTGTGAAAGTCAACATCACTTAGAAGTTATCATGAAAAGAAAACATAAATAATACAGAGGTTTCCTAATGAGGCCTGACCTTGCTAGATTGTTACCACTCCCCATCATCATTTGCCAAGTCCCTTTAATGTATCTTGAGTTCCTACATTGCATCCCTCACGACTCCCATAGCATCTGCACTCTCACAGCCTTCAATAGCCTTAGGGCAGCTCTGTTGTGTTTCCTGTGTTACAGCTGTAGGATGTTCTTGCATTTTCACAAGTTTATTAACTAAGAAATAGGTGAGTAGGGTAGGTAATGCAAGGGGTATGCATGTTGCTGGGGGGCAGGAAGACGGGATGGCGGGTGAAGGAGAGAGAGCATCTACAAAATAGATTTCAGGGTCAGGCTCTACTTGGGGGTCCCTGGGGTTGACTCATTATCCACATGAATAATGTTTGTCAAATACATTTTTGAGTTGGGGCTTTTTATTTTTGGTAACTTTTTTGTGGAAATAGTGAGACTGAGCTAGCAAACTAGTAATATGATTTCTAAGCATACAAAAGCTAAGGAAAGGATTACAAGTGGAATTCTCAATTAAAAATTAGAAACTTTTTTAAAATTTTATTTTATTTTTATTGCAAAGTCATATACAGAGAGGGGGAGAGACAGAGAGGAAGAACTTCCATCTGATGGTTCACTCCCCAAGTGACTGCAACGGCTGGAGCTGAGCCGATCTGAAGCCAGGATCCAGGAACTTCTTCTGGGTCTGCCATGTGGGTGCAGGGTCCCAAGGCTTTGGGCCGTCCTCGACTGCTTTCCCAGGCCACAAGCAGGGAGCTGGATGGGAAGTGGGGCAGCTGGGATTACAACCAGCGCTCATATAGGATCCTGGCATGTCTAAGGTGTGTGCAAGATGAGGACTTTAACCGCTAGGCCACTGTGCCAAGCCCAAAAATTAGAAGCTCTTAAAAAAAATAGACATGTACTTTTATTTGAGCTAAAGTATATACATATATATATATATTTGAATTTTATGATACAGTTCTCTAGCCTCTAGGATTTCTCTTCTTCCTCCCCAAGTCCTCTCCTCCACTGCTGATTTCCCTTCTAGTATTAATGGGTAGTGCTTCATGAACAGTCATAAGTCCATCATTCCACTCTCAGAGTGTTTTCTGACATTGTAGGCATGGACATTGGCAGAGTCCAGCATCCTACTGTCAGGATGTATTCAACAGTTTCACCAGGAGTCCATCTTTGGTCTGGATGCAGAGATGCATACTGCACTATGTTTCCACATCTGGACATACCAGTCTCCACTACGCTTAATAGAGCTATAGTCTTAAAACACTGTTTAGAGCTAGATAAACCTTCTGTGTTTGCCATAGATCTGTTCTCATTTTACTTTCATCCAAATGTTTTGTTACTGTTGGCAAGAAAGCAGAGCCTGAATCTATCTTCAGTAATTTGTTTTGTTCAGTCTTGGGTTTTGGAACAAAAGAATAATTATTATTTTGCCAGAAATTTAGCATTTCCGCTAATAGATTTGACAGTTGCACAATATTTTGGAGTATGATAAAAATTAGCTCAAACCAAATAAATATTAAAAGAAATACAACCTACATGCCATGATCTTATTTCTGTGTATTCTACCTTAAAGATGGCTGTGTTGCAGAATGTGAAGTCCAATTATTTATATACTCTGACAGGAAACATGAAGCCAAGAACATGGGCATCATACTTGGCTTTGGTTGTCAAGAGGTGGCAGATAGAACATATTATAAATAATGGATGACATACCGTCATCTTCAAATGATCAGTTGTGTAGCTTTTTAGGAGTAATGTGTTATAAATGTTATGCATGCATATTTACATAAGAAGGTAAAACATACAACACTAAATGTAAATTTGAGAGGAAATATTTTTAAAAGTCTTCTAAGAGATAAGTTATTTTCTTGATTTTTTTTTTTTTTTGAAGAAAGTAGTTCAATAAAGAAGAACTTTGGGGAAATAATTGTATCTTAGATCAGAAAGTATGAAAGTGTAGAGTTTCCCTGTATTAACTGAGAATGAAGTGAAGCTGTGAGCTGCCTGCTTCCCGAGTGGCCACATTCCAGCTGTGCAGACTGGTCATGACACATCTGCCAATCAGAATGGCCCCTGGAGGGAAACCCTTGGATGAGGAGCCTTGTTTACATGCAGCGTGACTCTGTTTCTCCCCTCCTCTGGGGTGTTATACCACTGGAAGACCAGGGAGAAATTCTCTATTACAGTGCTAAATAAATGGCATGAATCTAGGATGACAGCCACAGCAAATGACTTTCCCGGCAGCATTTTAGTTGATCTTTAGCCACAGGTAAGAGTTGGTATTTTTGTTATTTGAACATAGCTCATCTGTATCCAATTTCTAGCATGTCGTAGTTTCGTTTGCAAAGCTTGCAGACTAAAAACTGAAGAGGAACGATTGAAAAATAATTAAAACACACCCTGTATTAATTCCTGTGACATTAAATTTTAGTACTGAAGTTAAAGCCAATGTGTTTTGTTTAAGGGAAGTATAAAACCAAGTTAAATTAAAACCGGAAAACTTTAAAAGTTTGGTAACAATAAGTCAAGCATAAAAAAATTAGAACCAGAAACATTAACATTGTTCACTTGGGGAGCTTTGTATTTAAATAAACATGTTTTAGTGTGACTATATTTTAGTCTTTTAAAAATGTCTTTGTGTATACCAGTTGTAATTTCCTTTTTTATTATGAGCCTATTCAGAAGGGAGTGGGACATATATTTAGCTGTGTAAACCCTATTTTCCTCCGATATTTCTCCAGAGGTTTGAGTCCATTTTCATCATCTTTATGCTGCTCCACCAACAGTACAATTCAGGGGAAAAAATAATCCCTTTCTAATCTTTTCTGTGCCGTTAAATTGTATTATGTTAATGTCAATTCAGAAGATAATACAGAGGAGTCTATGCTGGTAATATTCAGTGTTTTGAAATTTTAAGAATCTTCCAAGTTTTTTGAGTAATCACCTAGGGCTGTGTTTTGGTATGTATGTTACCCTCTGTTGTTACTTTTCCATAGCACCGAGGCCTTTTTATTTCATTTGCTTTTTTTTGGTTTGTTTTTGAACATATACTTGGAAAGCAGTTGTTACTCTGATTGAAAATTACCAGCCATAGATTTTGTAATTGTTGCTCTTGTGTGTGTTAAGCTTTAGTTTTATTAATAGCATTTTACACCACTTCTAAAAGCTTCAAGCTGTGGTGCTGTTATTCCTTGCCGTACAGCTGAGTTTCTCAGCCTTGGGATTAGTGGCGTTTTGATCCTTTTTGGGGGGTATCGCTGTGCATTGCAGGACATTTAGCCATGGCGCTGATCTCTGCTCACTAGAGCTTCCTTCTCCCCTACTGTGTCACCCAAAAAGATGCCACATATAGCACAGTATACCTAACTGCTGGTGAAATGAAACTGGGTAGTGGAGAGTTAAGGTCGGAGCTGTGCTGGTCTTAGTGTATTCGCAGATGTTGTTGTAGCTGACTGCTCGTTTTGTTCCCCTCCCCATTCTTTGGAAACTGCTGCCAACCATGATTCATGGAATGATTTTTTTGAGCTGAGTAATCTGTGGCTTTTCAGTTTCCTTACTTTTCTTTCCTTTGCTAAATGTCTTGGTTTTAGTAAAGTGTTTAACACAGCAAAGATCTTTTCAAGTGAAATAACACATGGAATCATGTGTTTTCCAAGTAGATGATTTTAACAAACCATAGAAAGTGTGTATGGCTGTCTTTCCTTGTGTCCTTTCTATTGTCGCTGTGAGGCAGGTCATCTCAGCTCTTGGGAACAGCCTTATGCAGGGACAGCACAGCTACCTTTGAAGAGTTCTTTGTGAAGTCCGGTATATGCTAGCTGGTATTTAAGACTTACTCTTTTTCTGGGCTTTTAAAGGAGGTTTTGACACGTGGCTGTCTTCTTTCTTTACAGATCGCAACGAACGAAATAAACCAGAGCACCGTTCCTCAAGGTAGGGACTGATGATGTGTTACAGTTCTGTGTGAGACTCCTCACTTCCTTTAGAGGTACCATAGGTTGCAGCCTGCTGTGACATTCAGAGAAGCTTCACAAGGGAAATACTGTCCTTTCTCTGAATGAAAATTCTTTATGAAACTACTGACTATTGGGAAGACACGCTTTGCTTAGAGAATTCCCATCAGTGATAGATATCTCTTCATGAAAGGTTATTTAGTTCTCATTTCTTTCTGCTGGTGATCTATATTTCCCCTCCTTCTAAAAAGTATTCTTTATGTTTTTGCTATTTTCTTAATTATAAAAGAAATAGATACTCATTGTAGAAATTTGGAAAACACAAAAATGCAAAGCATGCATGGCTGGCTCCTGCCAAAATTTTGTTGTACTTCTTTTTACACTTCAAAATTTTTTTTCTAAGATATATTTACTTTAGTTGAAGGAGTTACATAGAGAGAGGGAGAGATAGAGGGTTTGCATCCACTGACTCACTCCCTGTATGTTCACAATGGCTGGAGTTGGGTCAATCCGAAGCTGGAGGCCGTGAGCTTCCTCTGGTCCCCCCTGTGGATGCAGGGGCATAGAGTTAGATCAAAAGTGGAACAGCCAGGACTTGAACTAGCACTTACTCAGGATGCCAGTACCACCGGCAGAAGATTAACATGCTATACAGCTACACTGGCCTCTCTTTCTAGGCTGTTAATGTTACATATGTACATGTGTTTATTCAGATTCCTTTCCAAGTTCTTGGTAGGCCATTTCAGATGGTCAGATGGTCAGATGGTCAGGGAGATTGTATCAGTTAAAGCTTTTCACCACCACACTGAGAGTGTTTCACTGGGCCTTCACCAGCACCGACCAGTGTTTTTAAAAGTCCTTCTCAAACTGAACAGGTGAAAAATTCTTTCTCTTCTAGGCAAGACTGACAAGGCTATATTAAATATTGTTTATCTATTTTATGGAAAATTATGATTTTTCTAATATTGGTTTTTCATTATACATATTACATTCCCTTTTCAACACATTGTGTGTAAAATGTAAATTCCCATGACACCAACCCAGCCTGGCCTGGCTTGGCTGAGGGGAGGAGGTGGGTGGATACAATGGCAGAGGCTGGGCCACAGGTATCAAAATGGTACAGGAAGAACCTGGGAGTTCATACTACACCCCAGCTGTGTGCCAAAGTGGTAAATTTATGCCTACCAGTGTGTTCAAAGATATGGGGTTGAGTGAGAAAAAAAAATCCAAAAACATCCAGTAGAAGGGTGTGTTTCCTGGCTGCAATACGGAGAAGATTGCTGATAAAGTGAGCTCAGAGGGGCCAGCACAACTGGATAATCTTTTACCTACAAGTGCCAGCATCTCATATGGACCCTGATTTGTATCCAGGCTGCTGCACTTCCTGCTTGTGGCCTGGAAAAGCAGTGGAGGATGGCCCAAGACCTTGGGCCCCTGTACCCACATGGGAGACTTCTCCTGGCTCAGCTCCAGCTGTTGCAGCTATTTGGGGAGTGAACCAGCAGATGGGAGATGTTTCTCTCTTGTCTCTCCTGTCTATAGATCTGCCTTCCCAAATAAAATAAACGCCTAAAAACAAAACAAAAAATTCCCAGCTCAAAGCAGAAATCTAGGAGCTTGCAGCAGTAGGAGCTGTAACTTGACCAACACAAGACGTAGGTGCAGCAGAACATTGGGAATGTCCCAGAGGATGTTCACAACAGCTGCTTGGCCTACATGACTCATGAGGACAGCTGCACACTCTTGCTGCAGGCACCCTCCAAGGTACCTGCCTGCAGGTGCCCAGCCCAGGATCTCAATGGGCAGAAGTAACAGATGTGCTTGAAGATTATGAGCAGATTTTTCAAGGTTCTACTGGTGAAAGGCAGGGGTGGAGCTCCCCGCTTGTGGTTCTGCCCCTGGAGAGCAGTTCGAGTCCTCCTACTTCTACCTGCTCTCCCCAGCCTCTTCCTAAGCCTGCCCTAGCCAAGCCCCAGGAGGCCTCCTATACTGGCAGTCTCCAGCCGACCACACTTACCCTTGTCTCTGGCAGCACCCAAGTTCAGGGAATGGCTGACCCAAGAGCTGAGAATCACAGTCAGTGGTGACTCTGGAACTGAGAGCAAGGACAGTGGTGAGCTCACTTCCCTTCCCTTGGGTTAGACAGTGTTGAACACCTGGCCACTATGGTCTTCTGCCCTGCTAGACAGTAGCAGCTGCAGCATCAGCAACAGTTTGGGCCCAACCCTTTTATCTCCATTGAACCTCTGAAGGCAGACAGCACAGGTCTTCTGAAACTCCCTAAGGAGCTGTCAGAGGCCAGAGGTCTTTGATCCCACACAAGAGTGAGAGCATGAACTCAGAAATATTGGAGGAGTTTGTCTTCAGAAGTGTTTCCTCCTCCTCTTTCTCCACCCCTTGGAGACCACAATTGCTTCTGCAACCTGGATGAGAGTGAAGGTGTTTGTGATCTCTTTGATGTATCTGTTCTCCGCTTCTGACAAGGCACATGCTGTGTGTCACTGGAACCCAGACTGACCTCCTACCCCAACCCCTTCGTAGGCTGAGAGCAAAAATCTCCTGCCTTCCCCAGCCCTCCCTCACTGCAGTTTTGGCCACAACTCCCGCTCTACATTGGCACTTATACTATGCCACTGAGTGGGAGAAAGGGACTCTACCCCTTTCACCAAAGAGCCAAATTTTCACTTCTCCTTTTCTGAAACCTTCCCGAACCCAGGTTCCACTGCCACCTAGTGACACAGGCTTGCCTTCCTCCCTCCCCGGGCAGATTGTTCAACCCCACTTCCCTGCTCCTGCTAGTCCCTCTTGCTCTAGTAGGGAAGCATGAGTAGGATTTTTTGCAGCAAAAGGATATTGTAATGTTTGTACAGTCTCCAAGTGAATAGAGAGCATGCTTAAGGTAAATATATATATATATATATAATAATTTATATATGTACAGATTATGCAATGTATTATCTGTATATATATAATCTGTAATAAGCTCATTACTGATATTACAGATTACATTGCAATGTAATCTGCAGAAATTATCAATAAAAATCAGTGAGACTTCATCTAAGATAACTATGGCTGGATCTTCATAGTATTGACTGATTTTGGCAGGGCGGAGTGAATATGATGTGCATACTTTAAGATTCTCTGTGTTGGGCCTGGCAGCATGGCCTAGTGGCTAAAGTCCTCGCCTTGACGCGCCAGGATCCCATATGGGTGCCGGTTCTAATACCTGTTGCTCCACTTCCCATCCAGCTCCCTGCTTGTGGCCTGGGAAAGCAGTCGAGGACAGCTCAAAGCCTTGGGACCCTGCATCCGTGTGGGACACCTGGAGGAGGTTCCTGGCTCCTGGCTTCAGATCAGGGTAGCACTGGCCGTTGTGGTCACTTAGGGAGTAAATCATCGGATGGAAGTTCTCCCTCTCTCTGTCCTCCTCTATGTATATCTGACTTTCAAAAAAAAATTCTGTATGTTTGAGTTTAATCTTTCTGAGTTTTGATAAACATATATTTATGCATCTACCACCATAATCACAAGCTGATTGATTTTTTTTAAGATTTATTTTATTTTTTATTGGAAAGGCAGATATACAGAGAGGAGAGACAGAGAGGAAGATCTCCTGTCCGATGATTCACTCCCCAAGTGAGCGCAACGGCCAATGCTATGCTGATCCGAAGCCAGGAGCCTCTTCAGGGTCTCCCACGTGGGTGCAGGGTCCCAAAGCTTTGGGCCGTCCTCGACTGCTTTCCCAGGCCACAGGCAGGGAGCTGGAGGGGAAGTGGAGCTGCCAGGATTAGAACCGGCACCCATATGGGATCCCGGGCATGCAAGGCGAGGACCTTAACTACTGCGCCATCGCGCCGGGCCCCTGATTGATATTTTTTTAACAGGAGGTTAAAAATGGTAAAAGAAAGACTGAGCCAGGTGACATAAAAGGCTAGAAAGTACTTAAGATAGTAAAACTAGGACCCATAAGACCTTTGACATAATGAAGTTTGGACTAAATTGAGTGCTGTTTCAGTACTCAATAGAAATGCTTAAAACATTAATAGAACATAAAAATGTGGGAGAACTGTGATTTAAGCAGTGTAAATATGTTTGGAAAAGATGTAAGAATTAAGTTCTTCATAAATTCAGCATGAATAAAACAAATCTGTGCTCCACTCCAGAGATGCAGTTCAGGAAGTCTGGAGTAATTATTTCAGATCAATTTATTAAATGTTACCAGTGATTCTGCTGGTGAGCCAAGCTGGAGTCCAATGGTCTGGAGTTTAGGAGTTGAGTTGGGACAGGGAGGAACAAAAACAAAAGATTAGGATAAAAGTCAAAGCTGAATCATCAGAAGACTAGTATGAGGTTATCTAGAGTGTGCTCCCTGGCTCTGCTGCCTGGCTGGCATGTGGCCACTCCCTTTCTGCCGTGTCATTGCCAGTCTCTACCACGTGTTAGACCAGTAGAGCCACCCGACCTTGGACCGTACACACCCAGCTATAAGCCAGAATGAACCTGCTTCCTTTCGGAGTTGCTCCTATCAGATGTTTTCGTTAAAAGTACTGAAAGCTAATACCAACTGTTCTTTGTGTCCATGAGAGTCCCACAGGGCAAAATGGACATCTGGGGGTGGAACTTCTGTACAGTATGAGGAAGAATTTCCCAACAGCTTACAAAAGATAGAACGGGCTATTGTGTGGAGGGATACTGTGAAAGAAGAGCTACAGAAACCAGCATTAGAAGTAAAGATTCCTACATGGTTAAGTCACTGTTTACATGACCCTGCCCCTTTTCTTGCTTGTTAGCCAGTAAATATTTGTTGAGAGTTTTCATTGTTGCTCAGGACACAGTAGAAAACACAGAGAAGTCTCCAGCTTCATGGAACATCCATTGAGAGTGTGTTTAGTCTGAAATCAAAAACCAGTCTTCATTCTTCTGTTTCAGGCGATGCATGGTATTCCTGTGGCTACTGGGAAAGTGTTCTGATGACCCTTT